GGCAATCTAAAAATTATAGGGCTATAAGTGCATGTAACATAGATGTGTGTATGGACAAGAACATCAACCTTGCTGTCAAGCAAAATCAAGCTCTTAATAGCAAGTGCCACACAAAGTGCACTAACCAAATAGGTGGTAAGACATTAGGGGAACTCAGGCACCACACAGGTTATGTAGGAAGTAAACACAGGATTGGTCATAAAGGACTCAAATGTCTATACACAAATGCACAGAGTATGAACAGCAAACAGGGAGAACTAGAAATTCAGGTTAATGAGGGCAGATATGATATTGTTGCCATAACGGAAATGTGGGACGAAACCCACAAATGGAACACACAGCTAGAGGGATTTAAATTATTTAAAAGAAACAGACCAAATAAAAGAGGAGGTGGAGTTGTTCTCTATATAAGAAATAACTACATCTCTACAGAAATAGAGCACAGCAATGATGAAAACTGTCCTGAATGCATATGGGTCAATATTAAAGGGGGGAAAAATGACATTGCCATAGGTGTATACTATAGGCCACCCAACCAAACACAGGAAATAGATGAACTTTTTGCTAATCAGCTAACTAAGGTATGTAGGAAGCACATCACAATAGTGATGGGGGACTTTAACTACCCTGACATCAACTGGGAGACAAACTCTGCACCAGTGGAAGATCAAACAGATTCCTGACAAACCTAGCAGACAACTTTGTCTCCCAAAAAGTAGACAAGGGAACTAGGGGATTAGCCATTTTGGACCTAATTCTCACTAACAGAGATGAAATGATAGAAGGTGTTGAAGCCATAGGAACCTTGGGAGGAAGTGACCATGCAATATTGGAATTCAACATTATGGAAGCACAAGCAATAGAACACAGTCAAACTAGAGTCTTGGACTTCAAGAGAGCTAATTTCAATAAACTTAGAGNCAGATCCTGAAGTTGAAACTCAAATACTTTGGCCACCTAATGAGAAGGAAGGACTCACTGGAGAAGGGCCTAATGCTGGGAAAGATTGAGGGCAATAGAAGAAGGGGATGACAGAGAATGAGGTGGCTGGATGGAGTCACTGAAGCAGTAGGCGTGAACTTAAATGGACTCCAGAAGATGGTAGAGGACAGGAAGACCTGGAGGAACGTTGTCCATGGGGTCGCGATGGGTCAGACACGACTTCGCAATTAATAACAACAACAATCACTGAAGAAAGCACATTAAAAAGTGCAGCAATAGAAAAATAGCTTTGAAAATGACTGACTCATGGTGTATAATATCCAGTTTCACCAGAATAATGTGAAACTGTATGCCCTTTCAAAATTCACTGAAAAATCAGAGCAGTGAGTTCACTAAAGAGGTTATTACCAATCCCATCCCTTTTATGAATGGCTGACTGAATCCAATCGCTTTGGGTTTTAAACAGGAACCTAACATTCAAGTGAAATCATTTCCTCACATCTTAAGTTAGATATTTGCTATTTATAAGCTGATTAAGAAATTGTTGGTCCCAGGAAGCATAATAATAACGTAGATTCTCTTCATTACCACAAAAACATATTCAAACCTTTTAACTTTTGGACAATATTCTTGGAAATCATACAGGGGTGATAATGTTCAGCTTCAATTCAATTTGGATTAAAAACAAGGATTGACTATCTGCAAAGTATGTTTTTAATTTCCAGGCTGTGCTGTTCACAACAGAAACAAATTTCTGGTTAATGAGCAAGTACAATGCCTATTTTCCCTCTTATGGTGTATATGCTGTTTTATATGCAGTTTTCTTTTAGCGTCTGATATCTGGGCTGGTCTAATTTCAAATGAGGTCGCTCAATGATCTTCATGCATCCAAGGTCTTAGACTGCTTTGTTGCTGTTTTTCTCAGGCTATTGTCTACCATGCTACTATATTCAGATCGAATGCATACATTTTATCTGCAATGCCCTTTCACATTTTAGAAAAGATAAGAGTTAAAAGAACAGCATAGCTTCCAAATCAAATCCAAATCCAAATATTTCTTCTTTTAGAAATTAGGCAGTGGTTAAAAGTTAGCATGTAAAACCATAAGATTTTAAAAACTATTATATTTGCTTGAATGGGTTCACACGTGTTTTATTCCATGGTTTATTTAACCACATTCTATCAAACCATGATTAACTGGGTTGGTCAAGATTCAGCCTGCTCATAGGACAGAAATAAATTGGTAGCTGTGGAAAATTTCTGTTGGAGCCTAGATTGGGAAACTGTGTCCCTCCTGGTCCTATTATACTATTTAATAGCTTTTGATACCATCAATCATGGTATCCTTTTGGACCGATTACAAGAGTTGAGAGTTTCAGCAGTAGTTCTTGCAATACCTCTATTTTTATCTGCATGGGATTCTAGCTGATAGGGGGAAAGAGTGATTGAGCCCGTGATTGCTACACTGTGGAATAATTTAGAGCTTAAATCTTTCCTTGTATTAATATCTTTTTGAAAGCACCATGAAAGGTCATATGTTGGCTTGCGGTGAGGTAACATCAGTGTCTGATGATATTCAATTACACATCATCATCCCATGCTGGGCTGAAGATTCTTTGGGGACTGAACTGATAAGAGGTTGGATAGCAAGAAACAAACTCATCTGAAGTCTGAGCAAGATGGCTCATCCATAAATATCTTTGCACTCCAGAAATATCAGATCTTGTTTTTATTTAAGAAAAGGACACACTCCCCCAGAAACAGCAGGTTTGTGTCACTATTTATTTCAGTTCTCAAATCCTTGCTACCGAATCTCCAAGTTTCAAAATTTGATTATAACAAATTGGATTATTAAAAACACAATAAAATGTATGCAATAAACAAAAATCACACAACACAATACCCACAAGAACAACCAATAATATAATAGCCAATGTTCCTTAAATAAGGTCTAAGTTAAGGTGGCCAATAAACATCCCCTTAAAGTAAACTAGTCCTTAAAAACCTCAACTCAGGTTTTAAGGACTAGTTTTTAAGGACTAGGTCATCACAGAGAGGGATCAGTTTAATTTTTAGAAGGAAGTGAGTTTATAATATAAACACCATGACCGAAAAGCATCAGCCATCCCAATTGTCAGCCATTCCTCCCTTCAAAAAAGTAGGATACCATGAGCTGTTTTTCTTTGGAGAACTTTCTTGGATGAGATAAATCCCGCTGTTATAACCTGGACTTTATGAATAAAAACTATTTTGATTGCTTTTTGGAAACTTTAGTAAAAGTTAATGCAGGTCCTGCAATACAGGACCCATGAAATATTATCATAAAGATTAGTATCAAATCAACAAGAAATTGCTATATTTTGAACCAATCCCAAATTCTGAGAGGTCTTTATCACATGATGATAAGATTATTAGTCACTACAGATAAATAACTTGGAGATTTTTTTGGACTCACTCCTGCTTGAACAGCAGATAGAAGTTGTGGCCAAAGGTACTTTGTCCAACTATGGCTGTAAGCAGGGCTTTTTTTTGTCATAGAATGCCCAGAACGGAGTTCCGGCACCTTTTTTGGATGGAACCTTGTAGGGTAGGCAAGGCGGGTTGTATGATGTGTGAGTTCTGGCACCTTTTTTTTTTTTTTCAAAAAAAGCACTGGCTGTAAGTAAATCAGGAAGGATCAGTGATGGCAATTCATGCCTTGATCACCATGATTGGGCTACTGCCACACGCTTTATAATGTGGTTGCCTTTGAGATGACTTGAATGTATCAACTGGTACAGAATTCATTAACCAGCCCTCAAATCAGGTTTCCAGGGGGCTTCCAAGCCTAATTTAAAGGGCTACTTATCCCTTGTAACAGCCTATAGAATGTAGTGCCCAATATATCAAGGGCTGCCTCAAATTCCATTTTGTGAAAGGTAAAAGCATTTGGGCCAGAAGGCGGTACATTAATTCTATTTAGTTGTTGTTTTTTTTTTAAATGAGGGTGTGAGAATGACGATTCATGCTGCGATTTATTGATGGTGCATTGTACAACGTTCCATCCAGAATCTGTTGATCCGGGAAGTTTGGAAAAATAAATAAATAAATAAATAAATAAAGGCATTCTTATTTGTGTGTGGGCATTCGTGCGTGTGCCTACGATAACATCTCGCAAACGCTGCACCTTGCCTCCTGTCATCTTGAATTATTATCTCACGGCGCTCACGAATCCAAACTTCCGGGGAGGTGGCTGTTTTTCAGGAAAGGTGAAACACCGCCGCTGCTAACTAAAGTTGCCCAAACTCTGGAAGAACAGGCTTTACCGAGAAGGGGGAAAAGTGAAAGGGGCCTCCCGCCGCGCTCCTTTCTCCGTCTCTCCGCGCGCTTCTTCCCCGCCGAAGCTCAGCGCACCAGCCAGAGCGGACCCAGAGCACTTGCTCTGCTCGAAACCACGCTCCCCCTCCCTCCCTCCCTCCCTCCCTCCTGTCCGCGCCTGGAGTCCGGCCGCCAAGTGGAGCGAGTTAATCGCAGCTCCCGAAGACGGAGGCGACCCAAAGCTCGTCATGTTCCGCCAAACGCTGTTGGGCCGGCTGCCGCCCCGAATGTTGCCCCTCGTGGCCGCAGCCCTC